GTTAGGTTAAGGGTTAGGTTTAGGGTTAGGTTAAGGGTTAGGTTTAGGGGGGTTAGGGTTAGGTTTAGGGGTTAATTTTAGGTTTAGGGTTTACAGCGTGCTTCTGTCTCCGGGCTGTTGTTGCCCTGTTGATGATGTCAGCTACGCGGTTTAGTCGGGTGTGGTTTAGTCGAGCGTGGTTTTGTCGGTGAACCGTATTTTGGGGCCTCACATGCCCCGCCATGCCCCGTTTTGGTCCTGGAAGTCCTCCTGCACCAACCAGGAAGCAAAAAATGGGCGGTGGCAGGGCGGATGTGTGTGTGTGGGTCACGCATGCATGCGCGGCAGGTCACACACGCATGCACTGGAGCAAGGTGCACACGGGGGGTGTCGTGCACACTTTTGGCACATGACAACAAAAAGGCTAGCCATCACTGTCCTAAATGGAGAAGCTGTGGCCACTAAGTTGGGCCTAAAAGCCCTTGAGGGATGCAGCTGCCTTATAGCAGTGTTCTCCAACCTTGGCCACTTTAAGACTTGTGGACTTCAACTCCCAGAGTTCCTCAGCCAGCAAAGCTTGGCTGAGTTGAAGTCCACAAGTCTTAAAGTGGCCAAGGTTGGAGAACACTGCGTTATACAAGTTAAGCAAACCTCTAATCATGATCTGGACGTGTGACTGACTGGTAACCATCATGGGCGCTAACTAGGCAGAGGACGTTGGGTTAAAACTGGCCCCAAGTTAACCAGTCAGCTTCCATGCTCAAGGTGGGACTAGAACTCAACATCTCCTGGCTTCCAGGCAGCACCTTATCCACAAGACCAAACTGGCTCCATCAATCAATGAGAATAGGGCTGGAAGGGACCTTGGAGGTCTTCTAGTCCAGCCCCCTGCTCAAGCAGGAGACCCTACATCATGTCAGACAGATGGCTGTCCAGTCTCTTCTTAAAAACCTCCAGTAATGAAGCACCCACAACCTCTGAAGGCCAGCTCCTCCATTGGTTGATTGTCCTTAGGAAGTTTCTCCTCAATTCCATGTTGCGGCTCTCCTTGATTAGTTCCTATCCCTTGTTTCTTGTCCTGCCTTCAGGTGCTTTGGAGAATAATTTGACCCCCTCCTCTTTGTGGAAGCCCCTCAAATACTGGAATACTGCTATCATATCCTCCCCAGTCTTTCTTTCCTATAGACCGGCCATGCCCAATTCCTGCAACCGTTCTCTCTACGTTTTTGTCTCCAGGTCTTTAATTCTCTTCGTTGCTCTTTTCTCAAAGTCTCAACATCTATTTTGTAATGGGAGACCAAAACTGGATGCAGGATTCCAGGTGTGCTCTCTCTCCTATATGTTTTGTTGGAACTGCCCTCCTGTCTTGCTCAGGCCAGCACCACATCAGTGGTGGGTTGCAGGCGATACGCCCCGGTACGGGTGTACTGGAGCCTGCCCGGAGCATCGGATACCATTCCGGTACTGTGCTCCGCCCGCCCAAGCTCCATACCGGTCTTTTAAGTCTTCGGCACTTCTGTGCACGCGCAGATGCTCCGCTGAGCAGCTGGAGCATTGTGGAGACTCGCAGAGGCGCTAAGACTCATGCGCATGCTGCACACGTCCATGTGTACACCACTGGACCCATTCCAACCGTACCGGTTGGAACGGGATCCAGAATTCACCTCTGCACCACATGCAAATAGCTTTCGCTTAAAGCACTGGCTGCTATATTGTTGGCCTTCTGTTTTGCGCTGCTGGCGGGGACTTTTAAATGAAATATAAGAATGGCGGGGAAGCAGTCAGGAAGCCTTTTGTAAGTGACATTCACTTTCCTTTGCACAGCTTCCTCTGACAGCGACGTCTCGGATTTTTAAAAAATAAAAACCACCAGGCAAATGAGTACAAATCCATATAATGAAAAAAAGTATAGGATACTCACTTCCCCTTTCTGTCCAGGAGAGCCAAAAGGGCCCTAAGAAAAGAAGAAAGAAATTGAAATAAAGTTATTTCTTTCAATCCCATGCAGGAAACCAAAATGAAACTGAAGAATCTGGATTGCTTGTCATTGCAGCTCACAAATACGCCATCCAAATTTATCATCTGAACAACTTACTCGGGGATTGAAGTAGAATTAAAGAATGCTAGAGTTGGAAGGACTATAATGTCAGAGTTTGTTGCAGAAAAATCCAGAAGCACACGCAGATAACTGATGCAGCTGGATCCATTAACTTCTTTATATACATAAGAATAGATGAATAAATGTACAATACCAACAGGTGGTTCTTCCAAGTAAACACAAGGCAGGAGAGTTACAGGCAAACACAAGCAAGTTAGTTTTGTATGAGACAAGCCCAGACAGACTGCTAGTTCAGTTATCAGAGCAGCAGACTGCTTAAGTTTCTGTTTCTGTTTCAATTCTCTGCAC